GGTACTCGGGTGGAAGGGCATCGACAAAGTGTGCGAGAACAAAGGGTGTGTCAGCGTTGAGCCCTTTTTCCCGCAGTCGTGAGTACAGCAGCTCGAGCTTGTATAGATGCTCGACAGGGTTGCTGTTGCTGTGTGCGGGGATCGTGAATCGAAACATCTTCTTCATGAGGGCTTGTTTCGAGCCCTGCGACTCCGGGTTGTGTACTTTGTCGAGTTCCGCAAGAATTTCCTTTGCGGTCTCGCATTTGTTCACGATTGCCTTGTCGGCTTCTCGGACGATGGCTGTAGTCACAAAGTGGAACGCCTGGAGGCCCCTCTGAACCTCATCACTTGTGTAGCCCAAGCTATACAGCTCCGAGCTAGGCCTGTTTGGGTCACCGACGGGTGCGTGCTGCTCGGCGTTGCCGATAAGCTGCCCGTCCAAGCCTGCGGTTTTCGCGGCTTGAATAAGTGCCTTTCTCCACGAGTCGTACCCGTGGCCGCGACTCTCCCCTTCGAGACGCGGTGCATTGACCGTAACACGTTTTTGGCTACTACTGCTGTACCCATCGAAAAATGCTCCGGCCCCTCGAATTGCGGTTTGCTCACCTTGGGGGCTTAACCCCCTCGCTTCCCCGCGGTCCGGTCCTACGCCCGGGCTCATTCCGGCTGGCCCCACAGGATTCGCTCCCGATCTACTTGCCCAGCCAGTCGTCACTCTCGCTGGAACCCCAGGACTCGCTCCCGGTATGTTGTCCCAGCTGCTTTCCCGCGGGTGATTTCGCCCATCACGGGCCGTTTCCCGGGAAAATGCCCCGCCGCCCCCAGGCGGCAGAGCCTCTCTCTGGCTTGGGACGGCAGCACCGCCGCCCCTACTGGTATCGCCCGCCACGGCGTCACCAGGCTCCTTCCTCTTCAACTCCATCACTACGCTCATCAGCTGCGATAACTGGCCCTCCAGCCTCGCAATCGCCGGATCCTCGGCGTGTTGCTGTTGCGTGGCTGAGGTCTCTTCCCCCAGCCCTCCGACGGAACCGCTGTCCGACGCAGACATCACCCGATGCGGCTATCCCTCGACGGACAAATGAATCTAGAGTGTTTGTCGGCCGTACTCCGCGTACTTACCGGGACTTGTTTGTGTATAGTGTAATTACTTCAGACGGTGAGACAACGCCCGTACCCAGGACGCTGTCGTGCTCGGAANGAGAGAGAGAGAGTAGCAGCACGGCTGCTGCACTCAACAAAGGGGGTCTCGGTGCTTCATCACCGTACCCCTACCTTAAAGGTTCTACACCATCTGCGTCACACTTGTACGTACGGGTAATGTATCCACCATGTCCGTAGACCCACGAACATGCGGAGGCGCACGTATCCTCAATGCAACGACGAAACGAAGACGTTGACTCAACCATGCCCAACGATAAAAATAAAACTACCCCCCCCCCAATTNCTTGTACGTACGGGTAATGTATCCACCATGTCCGTAGACCCACGAACATGCGGAGGCGCACGTATCCTCAATGCAACGACGAAACGAAGACGTTGACTCAACCATGCCCAACGATAAAAATAAAATAAAAAAGGAAGGTGCAAACAAAGTTTGGCGCTGATGGGGATTGAACCCGCAACCTCGGGCACTGAACAACCACACATGGATTCCTTCTGTCAATTTGAAACTTGAAGACAATGAAAGGACGCGTCATTCGGATACGCCTCTTCGTATTTTTTTCGCGCTTCGCGCGAAATAAATATAACTCGTTCCCGGGTTGCCCTACCCATGGTCGCTGAGCCCGGGTAATGTATCCACCATGTCCGTAGACCCACGAACAGCCGCTGCAGCGGAGGCCGACACCATCCGCATTCAAGACAAAATGGACAAGCAGAAGCGGGAACAACTTGATAGTGTCACACGCTTGCCCCTCGGTCTAGCTGCAAGGGTGTGGTCACAGAGATCCTCAACAAAAGCGACGTCAGGCGCAAGCATACTTTCACATCCTCCACCTGGGTCACCGGATGGCTACCGTTGTTGCGCAAACGTGTCCGTGCTGCTGTCGTTGAAGGCCAAACCACCAACCGTGCCACGCTGGATTTCTTTGTGCCACCTTCCTACAGGTACAAAACCATCTGCGCAAGGAACCGGCAGGGCTCTCGACGTACGCCTTCTTCCAGAAATTGGCGGCTGCCTAGGACACTCAAGACAAGAGCTCGGGGATTGATCGTCTTCGCGGTTTTGGCGTATCCCACGGCGAGACTTACGGAGAGAACATTCGCCGCCATAAGACTCTGGCCATTACCGTCATGGTTTCTCACTACGCGTTCAAGNCTTGATGTCACCTTCCTACAGGTAGAAAACCATCTGCGCAAGGAACCGGCAGGGCCCTCGACGTACGCCTTCTTCATCCAGAAATTGGCGGCTGCCTGGGACACTCAAGACAAGAGCTTGGGGATTGATCATCTTCGCAGTTTTGGCGTGTCCAACGGCGAGACCTACGGAGAATACATTCGTCGCTATAAGGCTCTGGCCATGACCGTCATGCTTTCCCACCACGCGTTCGAGCCTTCGGAAGCGCAAGTGCAGATAGCTGTTCGAGACTCCATGTTGAAGCAGTTTCCGGTAGTGTCTGGGCAGGTGTACAAGGATGAGCAGCTCTCCATGGAAGCCCTTATTGGGCGACATGCTTTGTGTCTGGATGATATGTGGGATGTGTTGGACAAGCGTGCGTTCGCGCACACGCCGGCGGTGCATGGAGATGATTTCTTTTCGGTGTCTTCCACGAATGCTAGGAGTTCGTCTGCTGTTTCGCGTGCTGTAGCTTCTGCGGCGTTGCGTTCGACGGTGACTCCTTCGTGGAGCCAGGATTCTTCGGCCGCCGTGATGAGTGTTGACCCTCTACCTTATGATGATCGGGACCCTTTTCTGTTGCACTACAGCGACTGGCCGTTGCAAGGACACTTCCAAGAGGTGTACAACGTCGCTAGTGAGATGGCTCTAACCAAGAATGATCCGCCATTGTTCACCCCTATGGTCTCGGCTGAAGAACGCCGCAACGCGCTTCGACTGTACGAGGGAAGTGCCTCAACTGCTTAGGAGAAGACCACTCCTTCAAATCCTGTAATCGTGGTTTCGTGAACGCCACCGGCTTGCTTCACAATGACATCAAGTTCTGTATGGAAAAAGATCCCACACTTTGGGGTCGGTGGAAAAAGCGCATGACCTCGTATAGACGCCCTACAGGACGCAACCCACACCGAAATCACTCCTCAGGACACGCCCGCCGCTCATCTGACACATCGGACACGAAACAGTCTTCACACACAGAGCTCTCGTCGGAGGCTTCCACTTCGGCAAAATGGGGCTGGAGGGGTAAGAAATGACAAGCCGATGGCGGCGTTCAGCCGGTGCTACCGTCAACAGCAACCACCGTGCACCCTTTTGGAGATTCCCAAGATGTCCGTGTACAGCCTATTTCTTTGGGTACTCCCCACGCTCCTCAATCACATCTAGTTTCTCGGTCCGCCTCCTCATCGTCCGCCTCATCTCTGCTGGTATTGGACATGACAGACCCATTTCGGCAGTACCTTTGTGGTGTGGGCGACAGGGAGGTAAGACGTCGAGCGGTTCATCCCTGCTCATCTCGTCGTCTCGGGTTACGGAAGGAACAAGAATCTCGTCTTCTGCTATTCGTCAAGACTCTCCTGGTGCTGTCAGCCGGGCCTCTTCTCGGATCGCACACGAGCCTTCCTCCACACTCGTCGGGAACCCCGTCGATCCTCCTTCTCTTTCGCAGCTTTCGTTGTCTTCGACCGTCCGCTGCCCCCGTGTGACAGCACCTGATACGAATGCGTCTTCTTCTGCTGCCCACCACGTGCTGACTGCACCACTGCCATCGGGATCGGATGGTAGTGCCCACCATTCTGTGGAAGGTTCGGCTCTTTTGTCAAGGGGGAGTAGTCAAGAGCGCCCTGCGTCAATGAAAAAACATCCGTCTGTTGCAGGAATGACTTCTCCTAACGAACGGGTCTCCATTAATAGCCGAATGGCCTATGCAAATATTGACCTCGTCGGAGCCGCCGCCCTTAGGCCGCCCTCCGGATCACCGCGCGTTGCGGCTTCGCCTGCTCCTCCCTCGCGTTCTGGGTCCTCTCCGTCGGAGATGAGGACCCGTCCGCTTGGTCCAACCCCGCCTGTGCCCGGTGCCCGCCCTTTGCCCCTTCGCCCTGCACCGGCTCCGCCGTTTGATGACAAGTGCGAGTACGCTTCGGGTGACGTCCTTCTCTTCTGGAAACCTTCGTCTGTGTTCTCGCAATGGACTCCTTCGGCTTTTGACGTACTGGGGGTACGTTATTCATGTGGTGAGCAATTTATGATGTCTGAAAAAGCGAAGTTGTTCGGAGATATGACGTCGAATGACAATATTATGGCTGCAACAGATCCGAAGACACACAAGTTTTTGGGTCGAAATGTGCGTCGTTTCGATTATGCTGAATGGGAGCGTCGTCGAGAAGAGATCATGCGTACGGGGTTGTATGCCAAACTTGCTCAAAACCATGACATGAAACAACACGTACTGGAGACGGGTACCCACCTGCTTGCGGAAGCCAGCCCCTTCGATCGTGCTTGGGGTATCGGCATGTCTGCATGCTTTCCAGAGGCTAGTCCAAGTGGGCAGCCAGCGGTAAAAGCTTGTTGGGAAAAACTTTGATGGAAGTTGGACGCCTTTTGCGTGATCATCCTCTCTCTGGCGAAGATTTCCCCGCTTCCACTTCTCCCACGCCCCCCATTTCGCAGCCTCCTCTTCATGGACATCGACGCATCCATGAAGTTGCTACTGCTACAGGTTCTTCGCTACGGAAGGAACCGGGCGAAGACCCAGCCTGTCTCCGTTTGGACGCTCCAGGGGACCATGCTCCTGGCGTTCATCTGGGGCATCGACCTCCGCTTGTCCAGGCCAGCCTCATCTTCTCGAACATGGGCCCGATCTGGTCGGCGGCACGCTCCTGTTGGACTCGGACTCATACCCCACCCGGATCCTGCTGCATGGAGGACCTACAGTCACTTCTCAACTCGCGCGAGTGGCGCTTCTGGACTCTGCGTCTCCTGCGTCCTTCGCGTCCGACTCCGTGGTCACCGCCATGATAGCTGCTGGAGCCCTGACAGCTGGCAGCGTTCGTGTTTCGCCCTCTCGTCGTTGGGGTGGGTTTGGTGATGGACTCGCCCTTGTGGCCACCCGGTCAATTTGTCTCATCGTTAATTTTCTCCATGGAGATAGAGCTACCGCTTCCTTAGCGGTCTGGGCCTGTGTTGTTCCAGACGCCGCCATGGGGCACGCCGTGCTTCTGGGTCGTGATAGCTGGATGCGCTTCAACTCTCGCGTGTTCACCACCCTCCCCCACCCTGGACCGGACGGCCGGGTTATGGGCGAGCTCACGCTCTCTCCGCGTTTTACAGCTGGCGCTTGCGTTTACGCTACACACGACGACGCTCCTCCCTCCTCGTTTCACCTTAAATATGCAGGGAGCTCGGGAATTTCTTTGGGGCCGGAGCCTGCACTCGTTGAGGTGGACCTCGTTCGTTCTTCTGGCATGCCTGCGCTGATTGGAGAGTATCTGGATAGTTCAAACCCGAAGTGGGTGCGCTTTCGTCCCCAGATGCGTTCGTTTCAAATGGTCTCCAGCGTATTCCCCTTCCAGGTTGTGCCGAGCTGGAGCCGGGAGACGTTATTGGAGTGTCTGCCGCGCCTCTACTACGAGTGCCGGTGGAAACCCTGAAGGCGGCACCATCTTCGATTCCTATCGGCCTCACAACATCTACATCACCACCTCGGGTCAAGGTCGTTGGCCCCAAGTCCGGGACTCAGCGCTCTTCGGACCCAGCCTCCGCCCCGCTTCCTCCGAAGCCGCCTCCGCAANACAACATCTACATCACCACCTCGGGTCAACGCCGTTGGCCCCAAGTCCGGGACTCACCGCTCTCCGGACGCAGCCTCCGCCCCGCCTCCTCCGAAGCCACCTCCACAACAACTACTCGACCGCTTCTCTGAGGCACAGCGCTCCAGCTTCATGCGCTTGTGGGCTAGGCTGCCCGCACATATGCTCGACATCGCTTTCGATCTACACAATCCGGGATGGACACTGGAAGCTATTGATCGTTTGGCCGACGCCCTTGTGGAGTAGTCTGACGTGTTCTCTACTTCGAAAACCGATTTTGGTTCCTGCACCATCATGCCGTTCACGTCTTCTGTCCCAGCAGGGACGAAGCCCGGTGCATCACGCCCGTATCGTATCAAACCGTTGATGCAAAAGGAAGTGGATGCCGTTTTGGACCAGTATTTGGCGGCAGGGCTCATTCAACATTCCACGTCTCCGTGGGCTTCTCCTGTAGTTGTCATCCCCAAGAAGGACGGATCGGTTCGCATCACCGTCAACTACAAACGTCGCAACGCTCTGATGGATTTGGATGGACATCCTCTCCCTCGTGTGGTCGGTATCTTGGATTCTCTGTACACCGGGAAAGTGTTCTCCATCTTCGACCTCAACTAGGCTTTCCACCAGATCGTTTGTGATGAAGACACTGNGATGCTGCAGGGAGCCAACGCAAGTCCGTCTTGGTTCGTCAAGGTCATCAAAAGAGTGGTGCACGATCTGGAGCGTGTGCTTGCGTATCTGGACGACGTCATCTGTTTCGATGAGGAACCTCTGGAACACGTGCTGAACATGATCGAGTTCTTCAAACGACTGCGACAGTACAACCTCAAATTGTCTCCAGAAAAGGCTCGCGTCGGCGCCACGCACGCCAACTTCCTCGGTCGCACCATCTCTCCGGCCGGTGTTAGTCCTGATGGCGTCAAGGTTAGAACGCTCACGCACATGCCGCCGCCGCCGAATGTTAAGCAGCTTCGGAGCCTTCTCGGTGGACTCAGTTACTACCGGAAATTCCTCAAGAACCTCGCCACCAAGGTGCGGCCTCTCAACTCTCTTCTCAAACAAGGCGTTCCCTTCAAGTACACCCCGGGCATGGTCAAGGTCGTCGAAACGTTGTTAAGCGAACTCGCTCGCCCCCCGATTTTGGTCTACCCGGATTGGGCAGCAATCGAGGACAACAGCCGTCCTCTTCGTTTGTGTTCCGACGTATTCTCGGCGGTCCCCGGGGGTCTTCATCGTCTCGCCTGTTCCCGCATCTTCAAGGCCTGCTTCCCCATTGACTTCTGCTGCGTTCCGCGTGATGTCTCCTGCCGCGTCTTTGGCGACTAGGTATGTGCACGTTTTGTCTTCGCTTCCGGAGCGGAGACCGCTCATTTCTTCACAGACTCGGGCCAAAACTACCGCTGTTTCCGGAGGCACCGTCACCGGTCCCGCTTATTTCGGACGCCAGCCGCGGGCTACCATCGTCCCTTGGACATCGTCGCCTGCCCGTCGCTCTAGCAATTCCCGCTCGACAAACAAGCCCACCCGGACCGCCGCGCGTCTGCTGCAGCCGTCCGCAACGCCGGCATCGGCGTTTTCGTCGACTGCTCCTGCGCCACCGGTGTCTTCGCCGTCAGCGACGCGCCCTGCATCCCCAATTTCGCCTTCTCTACAGGTTTCGCCCGGGACTTCGCCCCTCACGATGTCCCCTTCGCGGACATCACCACGGACTGCGGCTACCCCTTTCGCTGAGGCTTCGCCTTCTTCTGCCTCTTCCGTTCGATCGCCTGACCTTCTTTTGGAATCTTCTGATTTGGACACCTCTCACTTGCGGGCTTGTGTTCGGAGTTTCAGCACTGTGGACTGGGCTAGGGAACAACGGCGGGAGATCGAGTGTGTGGTGGCTGTGCGTTGTTTGTCTTGCGGTTCTCCCTCCTCACCCCCTCCGGACTTGCTCACTCTCCGTGCTCCTGTTCGCTCCCCTCGGTTTGATGATGTACTCGTGTTGGCGGCGAAAACCAAACTGCACACGACCGACGACAACATCACCCTCCTCGTAAATAAATCGACGCTGTCGCCGGTTGAGCGCTCTGGCGGCAGGACCACTCGTCTGCCGGATACTGGCGTGCCCCGCGTCTACGTGACAATGCTAATGCGTCCGTGGGTCCTTCATGCATGCCATACCGCCGCGTCATTCCATCTCGGCGTCCATCGCACACAGCGTCTGCTCGAGCTCTTCTACAGGTGGATTGGCTTGGATCGTTCCGTGCGCTGGTGGCTTCGGGCGTGTTTGGTTTGTCAAGCTCGCAAGAGTTTACGTCAGACTGCTCGGTGGCCCGTCATCGCTATGCCATTGCCGCAGGGGCCTGGTACGGTCGTCGGCGTCGACTTCTTCGGACCTCTGTCAGTGACTGCCAAGGGCATATCCTACATTTTGTTGTTCACAGACCGTTTCAGTCGGAGAGCCGACACGTTCGCAGTTACAGCGGCGGAATTTACGGCGAGAGGAACGGCTCACATCTTCGTCAACCAATACATGACCAAGTGGGGATGTCCGACTACGTTATTGTCGGACAACGGACTGCATTCTGCTCGAAGCTCTCCATGGCGATCAACGAGATGATGAAGATCAAGAAGGTCACCACCAGCTCCTGCCACCCACAGACCAACGGCGGCACGGAACGCGTCAACTACGCGATGGCCCAGATGCTTGCGGTGGTCGTCAACGAACAGAAAAACGATTGGGACATACATCTCCCGCACGTTGAGTTTGCCTACAACAATTCCGTGAACCAGTCTACTGAATTAGCGCCGAACGAAATCCACATCGGACGCATCCCGAGACTCCCGCTTCGGTCTTCGATCACCCCACGGTAGGTGGTCATCAAGGCTTGGCCCGCGATCAACTCGAGTATTGCAACCTGGCTGTCGATCGCCAGCGCCGGGCCTACGAACTTGTCCGTGAGTACAACGCCCTGAAGATTTCGCGAGTCGGACGCCGCCATTCATCCCTGCCGGACGCCATTCACAAGCTCCCTCAGTTTACGGTTGGCGGGTGGGCTTGGGTGTACAACACGGCTGCTACGATTCGACGGTGTGCAGAAAGACACGGACCAACAGGCGCTCGNCCACCAGCTCCTGCCACCCACAGACCAACGGCGGCACGGAACGCGTCAACTACGCGATGGCCCAGATGCNAGGTGGTCATCAAAGCTTGGCCCGCGATCAACTCGAGTATTGCAACCTGGCTGTCGATCGCCAGCGCCGGGCCTACGAACTTGTCCGTGAGTACAACGCCCTGAAGATTTCGCGAGTCGGACGCCGCCATTCATCCCTGCCGGACGCCATTCACAAGCTCCCTCAGTTTACGGTTGGCGGGTGGGCTTGGGTGTACAACACGGCTGCTACGATTCGACGGTGTGCAGAAAGACACGGACCAACAGGCGCTCGAGGCCAAATTTGCACTTTCCTGGACGGGGCCCTACAAAGTTCTTGCGGTGGGTCCTGCCTCTGCCGACGCCACTCCGGACGGCAGCCCGTTGGCGTGTAAACTCCTCTACCTGGACCTGCCT